GACCCCAATATGGGGGTCGTGACGTTCACAAACCGGCACAAAACCAACATCATGCACTAAAGCTTTGAAAAGAGAAAAGACAAAAAACAATAGAAGTGAAGCTTTAATAGCTCCTACAACTATAACTGAAAACATGGATCAGGTAGGCAATTTGCCATATCTGAAAAAACAAAAAATTCAAACATCAAAGGGCCAAATGGGCCCAAACTCTGTCTTCGTAAAACATGGAAAACGGAGCTGCCACCCCACAATTGGGCGGTGACACCTCCGGCCATGTCAGGTGGCAGGGTGGGGTAACGTGTTCAAGAGTTTTGAAACCATGAATTAATGGACGGTATTAAGAGGGTCAGAGGACCCTTGTTAAGCCTTAACACATCCAACTATCAATGAGAAAGCATACATAGTTCTCAGAAACACAGAAATATCACAGCAGTGACCACAAAAAATGCACATCCTGAAGATGTAAGAAATACAAATGAGCAAAATCCCTGTATCCCGGTTCTTGTCTCAGTCATAGTAAACTGTGGACTAGGACTAAGGACTATCAAAACAATGGGTAATAGGCAAGTGAGCATTGTCCTGTCAACCCGGTTCTTGTCAGACTCTCCTTCTATCCCTCCGTGGAGATGGAGTATACCAAATGGGAGAGACACGAGGAGTGGGGGTGGATGTTGAGGTGATGGGGCGTCCGCCAGGCCCAATTTGGCCAAGATTTATCTACCTTCGGGGAAGGGATGTAGCTATATATGTGCTCCCATTATGTGGAACTATCAGCTTAAAAGGGAAGCCCCATCTATAGCGGATACGAGCTGAGAAAAGGGCAGTTGTAACTTCTTTCATTTTTCTACGTTTCTCCAACGTAGCCGGGAGAAACATCTGGAAAGATTTGTAAAACCGAGCCTTCGAAGGAGATCGTTGGGGTATTATGAGCAGCTCTAAGTATGTCTTCTTTGGTCAGGAAATCCTTCATACACAGGACAATGTCCCTAGGCAGTTTATCATTAGGAGATTTAGGGCGCAGGGCTCTATGGATGCGGTCACAAGCAAAGGACCCAGGGTCACGGTCCGGAAGGAGTGACTTGAATAACTTGGTTATGTTTTGTGAAAGATCAAACACAGACTCCGGAATTCCCCTGACTCGCAGATTATTCCGGCGATTGCGATTATCAAGGTCCTCAACCTGCACCTGCAATTGTGAAAAGGTCGTTTGTAGATGATCGTGTTCTCTGGAAAGTTCACCATAGGCCAGGATAAGTTCATCATGTTTGGTTTCTAAGCGGTCGGTCCTGGAGCTCAATGTGGCTATTTCCTGGGAGAGAACATTGGTGCTTTTATGCAGTTCTGATTGGAATTTAGCGGCCAGCTTGGTGTGCATGGTTTCCAAGCAAGATTCCAGGTCCCCCTTTGTGAGTTGCTGTGTATATTCACTGACCAGAGCTAATGAAGGAGCTGTGATATCCTGCGTGGAATTGGACAGGGATGCTCGTTCTGTATTATCTGGAGACATGCTGCAAATCTTGTGTGTCTTAAGTAGGCATGTCGTGAGGGACTTTTGAGCTTGTCCCCTTTTTTTCTTGGTGGACGGCATACAGGGAGTCTCCTGGGGGTGATCAACTGGAAATTGGATAACCAAAGGAAATAATAACCCCAGGGGACCTATAACGCCCAAAATAGGTTTAAGGTTGTAGTTACATAGATGCTATCAGGCTTATCCGCAAAAACTTTATATTGTAAAAATATTTAGCAAACCGTGAGGGCGTAGAGAGGACATAGGCCGTGGTAAACACCATTAATAACTCCCAGGAGCAAGATGATGGCTCCAACTCCCACCTTAGGGTCTGAGAGGGACAAGGGGCACATGTGGAACAGAGGTCCCCCTATGATGATTTCAAGGGCCCTCCAGGGCAGATCCAGGGAGCCCCGGCACTCCACTGGAGCAGTATATAGGCCTCAGTAGGCCTCTGGGCCCAACAGGGGCCGTGGCCACAGAGGAAGGCGGTTTTGGGGCAGTAAATGGGAGCCCCGTTCCCTGAATCACTGGAAGGGGACCCGATGACGAGTAGCCACCAGCCCCCTTGCCTCCTATACTCACTGTGGCCTGGATGAGAGGAGGTCCGTATCGGGTGGAGTAGGCCACAGGTGTCCGCCTCCACGGGGAATGGCAATACACAGCGGTGCCCCTCTCCCAGACTCAGGGGATGCAGAGGGTGCCTTCGATGTCCTGGAATGATCCACCGCCGCCCGGATGGCAGTGGGTGCAAGTACGAGGCGCCGGAGCCCCGGATTATGCGGCCGCGCATGTCCGTCGCTACAGAGGGCGGAAATATCTCCCGGAGCCCCTCTCCCAGATACCGGAGATGCCACCAGGAGCCTCTGCTGCCCCGTTGTGGTCCGCAGCTGCACGGATGGCAGCAGATTGTGTAGGTCGGCGCCGAAGCTCTGGATTACGTGGCCGCTCCGGTTGCCATCTTGTACACGCCCCCAAGATTAGTGCTTTAAATCATGTATTCCCATTTGCTGTATTGAGATGGCCTTTTAATACAGTGTGTTCACAAATACTTTGACTGTGCTATGCATCAGGAATAAAAAAAATGTGCCATGACATTCCGTTTGATGCAAAATGTTATTGTAAAAGTATGTCCCATTGAGGTTCACATTATATTATGCAATAAATATAAAAAGGTTAAGAGACTGAAAAGCAAAAGCAAACAATGTTACTCTTATTTAAATACATGTGTGCATGGACATTGGTTCTTAACTGCACTGCTTTACTCCCCAAACAAGTCAATTAAAATCTAAAATAATATACAATAAATACAAAATCGGTGTCCAAAAATCAATATTAAAATGTGAATAAATGAATACCCTATATATTGACACTTAAAAGTCATACTTTCCCCCTTGAAAGTCCAAAAATATAAATAATGAATCCTCTTTAGTGTCAGTGAATCTTCCCCAATATTTTCTTCAGTGTAATAATCCCAAAGTATAATTCATTTTCACCGTATACCTCCAAAAAATGAAATAAAAGCTAGATAGTGTATTATCCTCAATCAGTGATCAAAACCATATATACATAAATAACTCATGTGAAAAATTGTGAAAACACAATATGAAAACACAACGTGAAAACACGTGAAATAGTGAGGCACTCCGTGTACACTTCTATATGAACACTTCTCCATGAGCACTCCGTGAACACTTCTATGTGGCTAGAGTAAATACTCTTACCCTAAATACGTGATCAAAAAGCCTTCTAAGAGAATAATCCAATAAGCCACCAATCCTCAAGATTATCCCACAAATGCTATACCAGATACTGGGTTATCCCATATTTCCAAGCATGACACAATACTTCCCAGGGCCATCCATAGGCAATCACTCATAGAGAAAGAAAGGACCATATAGTGTAGTATGTCCAGTAAAAATTAAATTCAGGCTTTAATGAATATGCTTACATTAAAAAAAAGAAAAAAAAAAAAAACAAAACGATAGCTCCGATATCTAGCTCAGTCCAGGAGGGAATTGTAGTCTTTGAGTGATTACAGACTGGGAAGTGTGTGGCTAACAGTCAGACTCTAGAGCTGGTGGGACATTTGTGTTATCATTAAGGAGCTGAGCTGAACACCCCTCCTGCATGGGAAGAAAGTTGCTGTACAGTGAAAATTAGGTGTACTGAAATACCCAGAACTGAAGTTTGACCGTTGACCGGAAGTGGCGGAGCGGCCATCTTAACTGAGGTGATATTGGTATTAGCGTTCCCGAAGGCTGCTCGAGGGATGGTGTTATGGGAATATATGCATTTTTAATGTAAGCATATTCATTAAAGCCTGGATTTAATTTTTACTGGATACACTACACTATATGGTCCTTTCTTTCTCTATGAGTGATTGCCTATGGATGGCCCTGGGAAGTATTGTGCCATGCTTGGAAATATGGGATAACCCTGCATCTGGTATAGCATTTGTGGGATATTCTTGAGGATTGGTGGTTTATTGGATTATTCTCTTAGAAGGGTTTTGATCACGTATTTAGGGTAATTTAGAGTATTTACTCTAGTCACACAGAAGTGTTAACGGAGTGCTCACGCAGAAGTGTTCATATAGAAGTATACACAGAGTGTCTCACTATTTCACGTGTTTTCACATATGAGTTATTTATGTATATATGGTTTTGATCTCTGATTATTTGAGGATAATACACTATCTAGCTTTTATTTAATTTTTTGAAGGTATACGGTGAAAATGGATCATACTTTGGGATTATTACACTGAATTAAATATTTGGGAAGATTCACTGACACTAAAGAGGATTCATTATTTATAAATTCTAAAATAAGTTTAAAGTGGTTGTAAACCCTAACATATATCCAGTGAAGTAACTGGCCTTAAGTGATACACAGAGATAAAACAAATCATCCTACATAAGTTGTACCTGTCTGTCTGCATTCTTCTCTTCTCTATATCTCTTCAAAGTGCTGAATTTGTAAAGCTTGTCTGAGAGTTCAGAAAACAGGGGGGAGAGAGCTGAAATTACACATTGAAGTGCTCAGTGAGGAGAGCTTCGAGAACTTATTGAAGGGAAGAGACACACCCACTCCCACACAGTTCACAAGAACAGAGCTGAAACTGCCAATGACAGGTTGTTCCCCCCCCCCCCCCCCCCCCCGTCACCATTTTTCTCTTGGTGTCAGGAAAACGTGTCAAAAATGATTCATACCGATAGCAGAGGAATGAATCAGCAGACAGAAAAAACACTTAGTGTTCTTAATGGAGACATGTCCACGCTATAATGGGATATGCTTTGTTCATACAGTATTTCATGCCTGAGGTTTACAACCATTTTAAGGCAAAATAAAACAGTTTAGAAGGAGGTCAGAAGCACCTTAAAAGAAACTTAGAAGGATGTGCCCATCACCATAAGCCCTTACAATTAGGTTTTTGTCTTGGTGCCAAAAAGCCTGAACACATCAGAAACTAAAAAAGGAACATGATACTGACCTTGATAACTGTAGACTGCAACACTGGATTCCTCTAGTAGATTTTCATCATGATGCCAGCTCACTGCCAGTTTTCCCATACCAAAATATGGTTCTTCCTTAAGGTAGAACATGCTATGTGGGTTCATGTAGTTTATCAAGGTCACATTATAAGATTCCAAATCATCTTGATTAGTTTTGTAATCATTTTCCAGGGATATCTGCTGGGGTAAACCACTAGAACACTGTGCATTTGTTACACACTGGAGTAATTTAAGTTTTGTCTGTTCATAAAGAAATGCATTCAGTTCATAGAAAGCTTTGCAGGCATCTGCAATTTCTTCCGTGCTGTATGTGATATTGTATTTAGCATCAGGCCAAGGCACAGCGAACAGACGTGTGTTTAAGTATCTGTAAGTGCATCCTGGTTGACCAATCAGAATGCGGGAAACTGGGGTAAGCAGGTCTTTACCTTTCAGCTGCACAAGGTCTTGAAACAGACAGCCATGTTGAAGTAATAATAAAAATGCCTTCTGAACATTATGATGCAACTCTGCTGGAGTTTTTTGAGCTTCATGAATTACTAATTTTGCATACTTCGTCTTCCACTAAAGGGAAATGCAGAATTTTGTAAAAATGAGTAAAACATGCAACACAGACAAATGAGTAAAATGTACAACACAGACAAATGAACAGTCATTAAATGTCTAATTATATATTATTGTTTGCTTTAAAGTATGTGGTAAAACAAATTTTGTATTTAAAAAAACACTAATCACAATTTCTATAAGTATTTCCAAGGTGTATTTTACTAATTTGCTATTGTGTCATATTTCAAGTTTCACCATTTGTAAGGAGTCATGAAAACACTAAACAAAAAGACTCTTCCTTGCAGACCTGTCTTTATAAGAATTTTCTTACTTTTCTTCTCTCCCTCACTCTCTTCCCAATGGCCATCTTAAGATTCAATCTCACCTGGTTCCTGGAATCCTAACCCACCCTCCATGCCAATGTGACACTAGACATCACCTCAGTAAAGAAACAAAAATGTCCTTGCCAGAAACCTTGTCAGATTTCACATTGTACACATGGGATTTCCTAGGAAGACACTGGGTGAGGTAACTTCTCATGTGCAGGTGGGAGGGAAAGAAAGGAAAGCCAGCTTCTTCTTTCCATCCTGACAGCTTTCAGGTGCTGCAGAGGGGAACTAAAAGGGATTTGTTCAAGTAATGGTCCACTGCCACCCAAATCACCCTCTCTGTCCAGTCCACAATCCTGTCCTCCTCTTGCCTGAGCCCCTCTGCTGAACTGATGGGGCTTGGGGCCTGGTCCCCATACAAGAGGCACAGCTGTGCCCCCTTACCAGTTGCCCTGCATGGAGGCCCTGTCCTGGGTGGAAGCACTGCTAACTTTAATATAAACTCCACTTTTCCATCTAGCAAAGGTTCTGGTTCTTTTATTTGCCTTCAGGTTTAGCACAACATCCTGTTTGAGGAAGACTATTTATCATAACCACCCCAAATGAGGGATACAGAAAGATGATTCAGCATGCAGAACTGCATGAAATACTATTTTTTCTGTTAGGAGAAAGGTTGGCTTTTCCAGAGAAGTAAAATTTCACAAACTCAGTGTATTGGAACTGCCACTACATTGCACCCCTCCCAGCCTCTCAAACCCTGTCCCACAGCCAACCAGGAGGGGTTGTTTCAGAAGACATATCATAGTCGTCACTGTCTGCTTGAGTCAGATGGATTCCTAATGTATAAAACATTATTTAGAAAACTGCTTGGTCATCTTTGTTATGAATACCAATCATAAATAAATATCCTGTTGTACTCAATTTTTTTATCATGAAGACTAGTAATTTTTTTTAGCCCCTTGACGCCAATGTCACACAAATATGCGGCCTCACGGTACTGTTCTTTTTTCCATGGGGCCGCATATTTGCGTACCTGTCTTTGTGCTGGGATCACGCTGCTTGGCGCGCTCCCAGCACAGAGATCACGGTGTCACTGAGAGCCTTGGGTCCCGTTCTAACGATCGGGACCCGGATCTCCTGATTCCAGGTCACATGATCGCTGTGATAGCCTCTGATTGGCTATGACAGTGATCAGTCACTGTACAGCCAGGCCCCCTTGTTTTTTTCTCTCTCTGTGAATGGAGAAGAGAGATACATTGTTCTTCTGGCATAGGGAGAAAAAACAAAATGTTTGTAAAAAAAAAGAAGATAAATAAATATTAAAAAAAAATAAAAGGAAAAATACCTAGATCAAGGTTTGATCTAGTTCAGTGCCAGGGTTAGTGTTTGGGTCAAGGTCAGAGTCAAAGGTCAGGGTTTTAAAAAAAAAAAAAAATGGTATCAGTGTCAGTTAGTGTTAATGTCAGTGTCAGTGTGTTTTAGGTAAAAAAAAAAAAAGAAAAAAAAAGACAAAAACAAAATGTGCACTATTGTTTCTGGGCTGTACTACGGGTACGAACAACAAATAACATACACATATATGGTATTGCTGCGATCGTCAAGAGTTGGAGAATTTATTTTGGGTTGTTCTTTGGTGGTAGGTTATGGTCGAAACAAGAAACACACAGCTAAATAAAACAAAATATTTTTTTTTACTATTTTGGGCCAGATTTCCTTTGATAATAAAAACAAAAATGAGGAGCTATCCTTTACCATTTACCACCAAATGAAAGCCCAATTTGTCCTGAAAAAAATCAAGTTATAATCCACCTGGATGTACAAAGTAGTTGTGACGATATGTACGGTTTTACTAACACATGTCAACGTTGAAGAATTGTGCTTAGGCATTTAGATTTGTTTTACCCTTAGGCGTGAAGGGGTTAGCAAGAAGACTAGTAAAAAGAAAGATCAATCAACATTATAATATCCATATGCCAGGCATATATAGCATTGCAGCATTTTCTGGGCAGACATAAGACTTGTATTTACTAGTGTATAGCATGCACAGTAAACAAACGTCAATACAGTTATATTATCATATTGCCAAAAAATACCAGTAGGTCAGCAGTTTTTTTTAAATACCAGCCCGAATGGCACCAACAACCATGCCACGTTCAAAGTCACAAATCCCCTTCCCCATTCTGATGCTCAGTTTGAACTTCACCACGTCTTGATGCCTAAACGCACTGAGTTGCTGCCATGTGACTGGCTGATTAGCAATTTCTGTTACCAAGCAATTGAATAGGTGTACCTATGTATGGCGGGTGAGTGTTCATCATAGTATCTAAGAGATTTAGCCACTTGCCCTCCAGAGGTTTTACCCCCCCCCCCCTTCCTGGCCAGGCCATTTTTTGCTATTAGGCACTGCACTATTTCAACTGGTAATTGCGCAGTCATGCAACACTGTACCCAAACAAAATGTATGTCCTTTTTTTCCACACAGATAGAGATTTATTTTGGTGGTATTTGATCACCTATGAGTTTTTATTTTTGTGCTAGAAACAAAAACATTCCAAAAATTTTGAAAAAAAAAACCCCTGATATTTTCTAATTTCTGTTATAAAAAAATTCATAAATTTAGGCCAAAATGTATTTTGCTATATGTATTTGGTAAAAAAAAATCCCAATACATTTTTGTCTTCTTTCTTCATTTTCCAAGAACTTGTGGCAACGAACAAGATCATCAAAAATACTCACCATGCTTCTTATCAAATTCCTTGGGGTGTCTACTTTCCACAAAGGGGTCATTGGGGGAGTTGTACTATTCTGGCATTTCAGGGCCTGTGATAGGTAGTCAGGAAGTGTAACAAGGAAATAAAGCCCTTTAAAAGGGCTGAAGGTGTTGATTGCATTTTGGGTCCTGTATGTGGCTAGACTGCCAAAAAAGTCTCTCAGATGTGGTATCCCCATACTCGGGGAGAAGTAGCAGAATGTATTTTGGGGAGTAAATCCACATATACTCATGGCAAGTGTGAGAGATATATAATTCAAGTCACAGCTTTGTGTTTAAAAATAAATAAATAAATAAATAATTTTCCAAAAACTTGTGGTAACAAATAAATTCTATTGGCTCAACATACCTCTCAACAAATAGTTTGGGGTGTCAACTTTCCAAACAGAGGTCATTTTTTTTTTTTTTTTTTTTTTGGGGGGGGGGTATCTTGGCATTTTATGCACAGCATTAGAAACTTATGCCACACATCACTCACTCTTCAAACCACTTGAAGACCAAGCCTTTTCTGATCATTCTTTTTTTCACATGAAAAAATCAGTATTGTTTGCTAGAAAATTACTTTGAACCCCCAAACATATATATTTTTTTTTAAAGCAGACATCCTAGATAATAAAATGGTGGGTGTTGGGAGGGGTGTGGCTACCGCCCGAGATGGATGCTTATGCTCTGAGCTCTCACACCCGCTGGGATGTTGCCTCCGGCAGAGCCGCATGCACTCCAATGCTGCTGTTACTCAGCTTCACTGACTCCTGACACCCCCGCACAATGCCCCGATGTAAAAGAGAGCAGCCTCTCCCCCAGAAAGTGTCAGGTTTCTTCCTGCTGATAAACCGGCGGCTACAACAAAATGGTGGCGGTCCCCAGTCATCTCGGCCCGCAGCCAGAACTCTAGCAGTGGCCTTCCAGAGATAAGCAGTGGCGGCCAACAATTTTCCTGATTCCTGCCCTGTCACACCTAGATTCCAAAACCCAGTGAAATCAAAACCATGTAACGAGACTTCAGAGAACCAGCAGAATGACATGCTTACTGAGGTAAACCCTGAAATTGACACTACACACAATACTTCCAAAACTGATCTGATAACATAATTTCCTACCAGTGGACAGCCAGTATCAGACACTATGATGAAGGACATGCTTCTATCACTCAGAGCATCCTTGCAAACAGTTATGCTGGCTTGCATGAAACATTCCAAACTTGAATAGCAAGAATTGGGGAGAGCGGGTGACCATGTAGAACGCTTTATGTGCAACTTTACTGATAACTATATACCCTGGTAGATGTTCACACCACTCAAGCCGAGAACATTTCCTGGATTAAAGAAAAATAAGCAAATCTTGAAGACAGATCTCGGAGGAACAACTTAAAAAATCAAGGGAATACCCAAATCTATACAAACTTCACAACTACCTAATTTTGTTTGGGAACTGTTTTTATCTATGATTCCATCACATACCTCAGCAGATCTAACAACTGATAGAATCCACCACGGACGAACAGAAATTCCCAGGAATGTTATCCTATGGATCCACTCTTTTCAAGTAAAAGAATGACTCTTGGCTGCCTATCGGCAACCAAATACACTGCCAGCACAAGCAGCCAAATTCCAACTTCTTCCGGATCTCTCCCAGTTCACTTTACAAAGACAAAAGAACCTCATCTCAACCACTAAAGCTCTGAGAAACCATAACATGTCATACAAGTGGAAGTACCTGGAAAACCTGGAAATAAAACATCGTGGCTCTCCCTGATATGCAACCTCTCTGGAAGAAGAGCTTAGCCTCCTACGGCACTGGGATATAATCCCTGA